TCAGATGGTTGCTGGTTCAAATCCCTGTGTCAGCAGAGCGATCCCACCATTGGGCCCTTGAGCAAGGCCCTTAACCACAACTGCTCCAGGGACTGGCTGAACCTATTGTCCCTATTGTCTTTCCTGAGGTGGCCTCTTGGGAGGCTTTTCCGGCCGTCCTGAAGGAGCTCCCACATTTATGCTGAGCTCTCATTGGCCACTTTTTCTTCACTCTCTGGTCAAACTCCTCCAAATGCATTTCTACTGTGTTTAGGGTAGCTGGCCAGGTCATGTGACGCGACTCCATCAGTCTCCTTTGTAGGCAGCTTGGTGTGTCAAAACTTGCGACTGGTACTGCATGTTTTGGTGGGGGCAACATGTGCAGCTTGGAAACCCACCTCCCCTAGAGCTGGGTGGGTGGGGGATAGAACCGCAGTACCTTACCAGCTGTGGCAATGTAGGTCACATCCTCGACGGGGTCGGGGGGGCATAATCTGCGGTGCCTAAGTGAGTGGAGAACGTCGAAAGGGTTTCGGCAGCGACGCACTGATGCGTGTTTACAGGCGTGCATCTTTTAGAAGTAGGTCACAGTGACCCAGTTTGACTGCTGACTGCCTCTGATTGACTGAGTCACTGCACGTTCGTTCTGCGGAGACTTGCTGTACTCTGTCGTTTCATCCAGGCGCGTAGGTGTGAAGGAAGCTTATAAAATCCCTTCCCCCCCCATCTGCCGGTATGAAATTTTAATGTAAAAATATTTATTCTGCTCTGTATGCTTTTTCTGACACGAGTGTTTTACAAAATAACCGTTTCTAAAAATCCTTAAGGCTTGGAGCTCACTTGGGCCGACGGTTTCTTATAAACGCTTATCCGGTCATGTCAAGGACATGCAAAATCCACATGCCCGGGAGGTGGGAATCAAACCCGCAACCCAGGAGGTGCGAGGCCGTGGCGCTACCCACTGAGGGTAAGATAAATATGCATGTAAATAAATATAAATCATTTCAAATAAGCCTGTATGAGTTAGAGAAAGCGACGTAGCGTGTCGGAACTCCATCCTGTGTTCGTCACGTCACTGACAGAACCTCTGCACATCTATCGAGGTCCTGCAGCGTGTTTCACCATGTCCTGCGTGCAGATAAGCCAGGCGGACGTGTCACCCTCCCGTCCCGGCTTCAAACTTCAACCTTGAAGTATCTTTTATACGCCGGGCGCATCTGCTAAAGCCCATGTTGTCAGATATTAGCGATACGCGCGGTGAGGGCGAGTTTGTCACTTTTTATTAAAACTTAACGCTTTGTATGGATGCCAGCTGTTGCATCCAGTCAAACAGCATCGGCAGCGTGAATGACCTTGACTTTCATGGCACGTCCTGTAGACTTCAAACCCCCCCATCATGCATTTTAAATAGCTTAAATAGATTACAATTCAGGGACAATCAAAGTAATTTATTATCTGATTTTTTTTGTGGGGGGGGGGGAATTAATCTTGTAATTCTCATGTAAGAAATAGTAGATTGACTTTAAAAAAAATTTTATCGAGCCCCACGTTGACATGGATTGTCACTCTTCATTTTGATGTCAGATGCCAGTCGTAATCATTTTGTAATTTCATTCTACCACCTGATTTCAGAGTCTACCTGACAGAAAGTCCAGTGATTTAGGATTTTCCTAAAGGCACTCAGTTTACATGGATTACTACACTGTAATTTTGTCTTTTGCCTTGTCCAGAGATAGTGTGTCTGGCATCATTGGTCATGTTGGAACTGCTGAACTCTGCCGATCATTGTGGGGACTCGACCCCCAATTTCTCCTGCTACTTTCAAAGTCTGTCACATCTGGGTTTTCTCACATCGAAGGACACGCTGTCGGATCAGCGTCCGGCAAACGCTTTACGACACCACGCTTTTTGTAATGGCTTCCTCTGTCGTCTCTCGCTTCTTAAGACACTGATATGTATGTGGATAACATTTGTTACCCCTTCAGGCAACGAGCTCCTGTCGGCTACTGATATGGCGGTGCACTGCCTAAACAGATGGTGATGCTTTTCGTTTATCTCTATTTAAGCTGCTGTTTTGCTGCCTATGTCTGACTGCTGCTGTCCGTCGCTCCCATTACGAGTCGTTACATCCCGCGAACCCTTCTTGCTCTTTTGCGCGTTTCGTTTGTCGTCTTTATTTCTCTGGAAACAGAGTCCGTCTGGAGTAGTCCAAACCCACCAGCTTCAAGGCCGTCAACCTGCGATTCGCCGCGGCTCTGATTCTGCGTTATCAGCACACATGCTTTAATAAGTTACTTTTGACTAGTCACCACAGTCAAATCTGGGTCGGCGTTGCCGATTATCCTTGGGTGGAGGCGCCAGCAACCGGTCGACAGCCGATCCGACATGCTGCCCGATGCCGCAGTGCCGTCATCTCTTGTATATATTAAAAAATATACGAGTACCCCCCCCCCCCCCCCATCCTCCTTTACACGATTTGGCAGATTTCGCAGCACTTTCGTTAATGGGCTAATTGGCTTGACTATGATGGCCGTGCTGCGTTTCCATCGCGGATCCTCTGAGGTGTGGGGAAGCCGGTCCCCCACCGTCTCAGGCTCCTCCTGAGCTTTCATCTTTGACTGGTTCGTCTTTAATTAGTCGTGGCGAAAACGATGCTGTTTTCCGCTAATTAAAATATCACATATTAAAATGCTTTTCCTATTGCTGTTGTTTTTTTGAACGCAGGCTGGTCCGTCATCCGTGATCACGCATTATTACACGTTACCATAATAGAGCAATAAAACCATAATTTACGGAGACCGGGAAATGGATCCGAATTGCTCCCTGCTTCTTTCGTTCTCGTTACTTTAAATTTGTTTACAGAACGAGTGCCGAGAACATGTCGAATGGAGTCAGCAAAGGTTTTACATTTGGCAGAGGCCTAGAAGAAGACATTATCATAATTTGCCTTAGATCAATTAGTCGTCCAGAGGAGGAGGCGTGACATAACGGACGATAGAGCATTATGGGGTTGGGGGGCACTTATTCCTTGGGAAAAACAAGCGCTGTTGAGTGGCAGTCAGAGGCGTCAGATTTAATTAACCTTTAGTGGTTGGCGCCCTGACGTTGGCTCTCCTTTTCGAGGGGGAGGGTGCGGGATGCAGAGAGACTTCAAGCTTGGTGTGGAGCTGACAGGTCCCAGAACTCCGGGTGGGTGCGGGGGTTGCTCGCTGGCGATAGCCCTCGGAGGTGGCATGTGGCGGGAGGCGGGCTGTCGAACACGGGCCGCGGGGCCGTGTCACCGGGCCCCGCCCCCGCCGCGCTACTCCTTGACGGGGCCGAAAGGTCCCCTTGTACCTGGCGGCCCCTTAGAGACGCTGCCGCCCGAGGTGCCAATTAGTGTCAGAGCCGGGTGACGACTAACCCTAACGTGGGGGTGGCCAGGGAGCACAGACAGGGCTGTCTCAGGATGCTCCATCCTGGGGTAAAGGGTCCGGGAGGCCCTCACAGGGCAGGCCAGTGTCCATTTGTACTGTTTGTCTGCCCACCCCTGGGCCGTGAAGCTTCCGAAAAGGGAGGGTGCATCACAGGAAACCAAACTGCAGCACTCCATATCAAAAGAAATCAAAGGCACCCCCTCCCCTTTCATTTTTGCTGGAGTCGGAAAACGTTTCTGGCAATTACTATCACATGCGGCTCAGTTGAGTCGTTCTGTAGGAATTCTTCAGGCTGTTAATAATAAGAAATGCATTTTTTAATCATTGAAATGTAGCGATTTACCCAGAGATAAAGGCTGTAGTATCAAAGCAATTTTAATTATCCATCTCAGTTTTAGTGTTTTGGTTTGATCACGCCTCAGAACTGCATGGGTTTTTCCTTTCGTTATGTTTGAGGGTTTAGTGATAAGGCTTTAAGGTTAGGGCTTAGAGTTTATAGTGGGCTTTAAGATTGAGGTTAGGGGTTAGGCTTTAGGGTTAGGTGTTAGGGTTTTTGCGGAGATTTACAAATTGAATGTCCCGTCAGCATGTGATCATTTTATCAGCGATTTCACACAGAAGAAAGCATGCTGAAGCCTGGTTAGTTTTGCAGTTTCAGATCCATACAATACAGACTCAAAGCCAAAATCCTGGGCAGCACCATGTGATAAGATGTCTGGGCCAGACACCCATGGCCCCGGTCCGCACCAAAGGTGGACGACGTCAAGATTGTGCCTGGGATGATAAACCACCCTGATGCTGGGTGCGTAGGGGGCTGGTCTGGAGTTGGCTCTTACCGATCAGGGGCCAGTTTATCTGTGACTGCTTTCATGGCAGCAATACGATATACATTGACAGTCTCAGGTTATATATGTGTATAAATTCATATGCAGTCTCAGTATCTCTACGGCGCTGCGCGTCTGGTGATGTCATTTTTGTGGCCATACTTGAATACATTAGGAGGACGAGACGGTTTGATTATTCATTACTGCTAACTGTGGGATGTAAAACTCACGAGCCATTTGCTAGCGCATTTTCATAATTGTGCCCCTAACCTTTGTGCTTTTGGGAGCCTATCACAGACTTTACGGTAGCGCCCCACACCTGCTGCTCTAAGCACAAGCTGGCGATTTAACTTTTTTTCTTTTCTAGTGTCTTGACAGCTGTCAAAGCCTCTAATCCCCACGTACAGTGCTCTTTCTTCATGTGTTTGTGCATGCGCCCCCATCCCCCCCAAATATCTGATGCCTGTCAAAACAAGTCACCCCCCACACTGTGTCCTGTATCTGAAAAAAAGGTTTTGGTGGGCAACTGTTAGATATTGACACATGTGCTTAGTTGCTGCCCTTCTTGTGCATTCATCAATGAGTGTGTCAAGCACAGATGAATATACATGCAGTGCAAGACAGCATACTGTTGATTTCAGATATAGGAAAGAAGATGGATAAATGTGAAAAGAGAATTCTAGATGAGGTGGGCTGTTAAGGGTGGAGTGGAGAGGCCAAACTGAGGGATGTTCCACTATTAAAATCTGTTTCTCATTTTGTGTTGTTTTTCGGCTCCTAGGTTTGCTGAGCCCGAAGTCAGGAGAACAGACGGGCAACAGTCGACTTGCGACAACTACGTTTACTTCCCCCACCCCCAACCCCACGGTCCCCCCTCCTTTGCCCAGAAATCACCAGAAGTGGAATGAATCCCTGGAACACAGGGCTGCAGGAATCACACGCGTGTCAAACAGCGTCATACCTGAAGGTGTGCTGAAGTTTCTCAGTTGTGGAGGAGTTTCTCGAGGAAATGCTCCGACCCCCCCCCCCTCACAAAATCACCTGCTTTGACCTACCCTTCTAACACTGGAGGAACCAGAAACAATCCCTTCTAGTTTTTGGGAGTTGATTACACTTGGAAGTAGACTCTGTTTTTTTTTAAATAGTGGTGGTAAACCAAACAAGGGACCCTGGTATTGAACATGACTCATGGGGAAGAGCTTGGCTCTGAGATGCACCAGGATTCAGCTGTACTAACTTATCTGGAAGGTTTACTAATGCATCAGGTTGCCGGTGGTGCCACAGCTACAAGGAGGTTGGAGGCAGGGCACAGCAACCAACAGCAGGGCAACAAGGCAGCCGGAAGCTACCGGCTACCGAGCCATGACTCCAGCGAAGAGCAGGAAAGAACAGTGCCTCTCGGAGGAGCGACGCATCTCAAGAAGGCAAGGTTGCTTTGCTCGGAGCCCCGGAGCGAACCCAGAGGCCATAGGTCGACTGTTCCTGTGCTGGATTTGAACGGACAAGGCAGCAACACCCGAGCCGACGCTCTGGACGGTTCCCCAAAGTGCAAGGGGGAGAGCACCTTGCTGGCGTCGCTGCTCCAGTCTTTCAGCAACCGGCTTCAGAACGTTGTGCTGTCGCAGCAGATAGTGCAGAGCCTAAAGCAGCAGGAGTGCGAGCGGGTCAACAGGAACACCCAGGAGCAGCGCACGGAGGAGGAAGAGGCGGTGCCAGCATCTCCACAGTGTTACGGGGTGGCCTCTAGTCGTCTCAAGGGCTTGATGAAGAAGAACAAGATGCAGAACCACAACAGTGTGCCTTATCGCCGTCGCACAAGTCAGGAGAGGCTCTCAGAGTCACCCCAGGTACCGCAAGGCGGCACCCAACCGGCCGCCTCTGATCCCATCTCCTGCGCAGCGCGCCTCAAGGCAGTGGCAAACCTGGTGAACATCAGGTCCAGTCCCGCCACCTCCCCTAAGCCCAACATGGCCTGCAGTCAGCTGGCCTTGCTGCTCTCCAGCGAGGCTCATCTGCAGCAGTACTCTCGAGACCATGCCTTAAAAGCACAATTATCTGGGAGGTCGGCCAGCCAGAGGCTTGCCGCCATGGCAACGCAGCAGACGCAGGATAAGAAGCAAGCTGATGCGGGGCAGGCTCAGATGGGCCCAGACATGGTAAGCTCCTTACGGGCCAAAAATGGGGCGCAACCTCAACCCACGATAGGCCCAGGTAAACGGAGTCCCACCCTCACTCCGGGACGGAGCAAAGCGGCCCCTTCCCCCATGCATCCTTTCAAGGATAGACGTCCCTTTGACAGGCACGTCCACAGGCCTGCGCAGAACTGTAGCAGCTTGCTCCTGCAACTCCTGAACAACCACAACACGCAGAGCCAGGTCAACGGACAGGGTCACCTGCGGGAAGACTACAGCATGTTCCCTGGTCATTGCTCCCCGCTGTTGTCGGATAGCGAGTACTCCAACGCGGAGAACAGCCTGCCAAAAGACAGCAGCGACGCAGAAAGTTCCAGCTCCAGCTGCTCTCCCATTGACCTCTCCGTGAGGAGCAAGGACACTGGGCCGGCTCTAGGCCCGTCTTCGTCCTCTTTGGACAAGCTCACCGAATCGCTGATAAACACGTGGAAGCCCGAGCCCCCCCGGCCTAAGTTGGCTGAACCTCGTGAACTTGAGTCTAATGTAGCTGTGAAACCCCATCACAAGGTTACCTTATTGCAGTTGCTCCTGGACCACAAAAAGAATGACAAAAGTCCTCTTAATTCTGATATGCGGAGTGTAAGCCCCAAGACTAACAATTCAGCTGCAAGCAAACTGACACCTATAGCTAGGTGTGAGGAAACCAGGACACAGAGTCCCCAGGGTGGATTGACAGGTAGAAACTTTCAAGAATTGCCCACATTCTGTCACGGTAGAGACTCCAGTGGCAGTGTGTCCCCATACAATCTGTACACATCCCCTCATTCCCAGTCCATCCCATTAGATCTTTGCAAATCAAAATCCTTCACAAGAGAAGGTGGTTCCCATGAACCTGCTTTCAGTGCCAGCAAACTACTACAAAATTTGGCCCAATGTGGATTACAAAAATCGGTCTCGTCTCCCCCGTTGAGGGCTCCCGTGCCCCCAAGCAAAATGCAGGCTCGCGAACTGAATCTCGACAAGCCCGTAACATTGCTGGAAAGGCTCAATACCCCGGTGCTGCGGAACAAGACGCCAGTTTCCGAGGCACCCCTCGCGGACTACGCGAAGGCCCCACTGATTAGCAAGCCATCTCCGCCCGTGTCCGAGGTCGAGAACCTCCTCGAGAGGAGGACGGTATTGCAGCTGCTTCTGGGAACAGCCTCCAGCAAAGAGAGTCAGAGCGGCCACAGGGATAGGCCGGCGGTAAGGATTGACCATGTGGAAAAGCAGGCCAACAAGTCAGAGAGTTGCTGCAGCTCGAATGGGCTTCTGCTGGATTTCAAGATTAAGAGTGAGCTGGGAGGGGAGGGTGGCCGGTCTGACAGTGATGAAGCAGCAGAGCGCTGCAATAACAAGGAGAGGGAGTATGATGGCCGCAGCCCTCCTTCAATCCTCAACCTGGACGTGAAGCCAGAGCCATTCTCCCCAGATGCTGTCCACAGGGATGGCCTTCTTAGCCAGCTTTTAAAGCAGCACACGAGAGCCTATCAGGCTACTGTACCCACAGACTTGCATGTGATTGGCATGAAGGAAGAGCAGCAGGAGCATCGGGGAACGGCCGTCCCGAAGAAGCGGAGGTTCTTCCCAGAAGTTCATGACCGCCTCAACGGCATGCCATGCACAGATCTCAGCAGGGGCGAGACCCCAAAGGAAAGCACAGATCAGCACCCTGGGGCACCCAGGGGTCGCAAGGTCAGAAAGATGGTGAGTCTGTCACGACCAGACACTCCAGTCAGACGTCCCATCAGCGAGTCTCCACCAAGGGACTCTGGGGGCTTCAATGTCCTGAAGCAGCTCCTTTTGTCTGATAACTGTTTGAAGGATCTCTCTCAGTCCCGGAGTGCCACCAGCCCTCTTCAGGCCAACTGCAAAGCCAACGGAAGCAGCCCCAATGAGTGTGGACCTAACCGCGAGCTTGCTGGCTCACGGGTGAATGCTAGCCCACAGGGTCTGGGAGCTGTCGAGTTCAGCTCCACAGCCACACTCACAGCAAGTGACAGGTCCTCAGGCTCCCCTTGGGGAAATCATACCGTCAGGCAGGACTCCCTCAGATCGAACCTTCTCCCTCTCAGACGGGACTCTGAGGGCCCCATCCAGTGGGCTGCCGGCGGGGATGAGAGACGGGACTCCCGACCCGACTCCCCGCGGCTGACTAAAACTAACCCCATCTTGTACTATATGCTCCAGAAAGGAAACACCCAACTTGGCCAAGGAAGGAAGGAGCTGTGCACTGTATCGACACCATGCAGGATGCAGGTGAAAGTCAAGGAGGAGCCCCTGGCTGACATTGAGGTCAATGACCATGGCGTGTCCTTGAAATGCCAGTCGCAGCTGCGCAATGAGAGCCATGACAGCAACCCTGAATGCCTCAATGGGTCCCCCAAGAAGGTCTAGTCTACCACAAGATTAAAAAGACTAAAACGCTCATACCAGAATTGAAAAGTTCCCTTTTTGGTCTGTTTTGCTTACTTTACTACTTTGTGTTGTTTATTTAAAGTTTGTGAGAAAGAAAAAAAGGAAAAAAAAACATACAAGGATAATAAATTCAATACTAATAGGTAACATAATGACAAAATGGTAATAATCCAAAGCATCCTTTTTTAATGATATTCTGAATCTAAATAATTTATCTTTGAAGTCATTTATGAATATTTTCACTATGCATAATTTTAAACATAGGTTTTATTGGAACATAGACTATTAAAGTAAGCGATTAAGACAAGCGCTTAACTCACGGGTAGCCAATTTGTCGAGCTTAATGCAAATGCGCTGTGCAGAGGTGAGGTTTTTCCTGGTGCCTCGACGTGCAGCAGGGAAGGTCATTGAAACAGTCTCATTTAAGTTCGACTGCAGTTATTAAAAAAAAATAGCTAGAGCCATAATAATATTCAAGTTCGCAGTCCGACATTTTAATTTGCTTTTGCTTTCCTTCGGTCTTGTATGAGTTTATTTTCATTCTCCTCCAGCCCCTTGCTGCAGACATTTTTGTAAGTCCTGCCCCCCCCCCAGACATCTATAGTCACATGTGCGCCTGACCAGTTTCCGGGCGAGAGGCTGTTTGTGTAGTGTTTTTGGTGAATTGGGTTGCTGATATGTGGCGTTGGTGTTTTTACGTGCGGTTCAGCTTGAGTTTGAATTTCTTCACGGTCGTTTTACCCAAAACTAGGACAGGTATGTTGCCACAAACTGCCCCCCTCA